TGATGCATGCATAAATATATAAATGGATGGAAGCACGAATAGATACATGTAGATAGATGTTATATGAATACAATTATATGTTGCATTAATAGCATTATTATCAAAACCTGTGCTTCTTCACTTTGTCTTGTCTTCCAAACTCTCCATTCCACTTTTAAAACTTATGTATTTGTATATTGATAGAATTCTAATTGTCCATTTTGCAGTAATTAAAAAAAATAATTCAATTGCATTAACAATGCAATGCAATTGTAATTGTATAAATACTATCATTATAAAGTAATAGTTTCTTTTTTAGAATATTTTTTTTTAAAGTATAATTTTATCCGTGGCTAAACATTCATTTCCAAAAGTGGAAACATAAGTGTCACTTTTACTTACCAAATACCGGTGCTTCTTCACTTTTTGTGGCAATTGTAATTGTATAAATACTATCATTATAAAGTAATAGTTTCTTTTTTAGAATATTTTTTTTAAAGTATAATTTTATCCGTGGCTAAACATTCATTTCCAAAAGTGGAAACATAAGTGTCACTTTTACTTACCAAATACCGGTGCTTCTTCACTTTTTGTGTTCCAAACTCTCCGTTCCACGTTTTTATCAATGTTCTCATTCAGGTCCTCTGTGTTGAAGCGCACTGGGGTGGTCGTCGTTTTTGTGGATGGTAGTGTTGGCTTCACTGTTGTTGGCTTCAAGGCTTTTGTGCTCACCTCAGTCCATTTCACAGTGGGCTTCAGAGTTTTTGTGGTACCCTTAGTTGACTCGAATGGCTTCACTGTTGTGCGTTTGGGAGCTCTGGTGGCCGGAGTGGGTTTAAATGGCGTGTCTCTCGGAGGTTTGGTGCTTCCCTCAGTGGGTTTCAGAGCTCTGGTGGTCGCCTCAGTGGGTTTTACCGTCTTGGAGAGTCTGCTTACCTTAGTAGGTGAGATGTTTCCATAAGCGCTGGTGGTCCTGTGTTTAATACGGGCTCTCCCGCTTCCAGTTGCAGATGATGCTTGAGTGTAATTTAAATTATATGATGCAGTTGTAACAGATTTTTTAAGAGAAGGCGAAGTAGTTACTCCTCCAACTAAAACAACAATAAAAGTTAGCAAAGATAACAGTAAAACGGTTGGGGCCATGGTTCCCTCTCAGCCCAGATATGTTGCTCTGTCTGAACACATAAACCCCCTAATGTTGCAAAATCACGCGCCACTAGTGATGCAAAGCAAATGTGAGACCATATTACTGTGAATAGAGGGAGAGAGAGTTTGAGGGGAAAATGTGTGCCATACACTTTTCCTTGCACATTTCTCATTTTTCTTCTTGGGTTTTCTCTTTCTGTTTTCGTTAAAAATATAGTAGGCTACTTTGAGCATCATGATATTACATGTATATCGTTTTTACGGTATTACTTGTGCCTTTCGAATAATTTTTCCACTTAAAAAAAGTTGAATATTTATAGTCCAAATTAATGGGATTAGTTCCCCATCTAGTGGCGATGACAGGCCAGACTTTTTAAAATAACTTAACTGGAATAGTTGATTAACAATGATTTGTTGTTTAAGACCTGTTAGGTATATAAATATATATATGTGCTATTATCTAACATAAAATGAATCCAGTATATTTAAGGTACAACTATATGTCTGCTCAAATCCCGCTTAAATGGTCGTTTTGGCCTGTACTAACTCCAGTGCCGGTGTCAAGTGCATAGGCTTTCTAGCATTAATATTATGCTACTATTGTAACAATTTAGGACAGTCCTTTTCACAAAGTCACATTTTAATTGTTAAATTTGACAGTGACACACAAACTTCTTGCGCAACTACGAATGCAGCTCTACGGAGTAAGCTAAAGGTATGATGAAATATTTTTTAAAATGTTTAATAGAGGGCTAGTTGATCGTAGTTAGTTGATTATTTCTCTGTTATTGTGTTGTTGTTACCAACCTCCTGACTTTCTTGGCTATATTCAACAAAATCACATTGTCAAAATTAATGACATAATCCGTTGAATTATTATTCAATTTATTCTAGTAACAATTTTTAATCAGCTAATTTTAATTACCAACAACATAGTATGTGGCTGCGTCCAACATTTTGCATGCCACCTTGTTAAAGAGTGATTTTACATCATTTTAAAACATTCGTGACATCAAAGAAGTAACATCACTTGAATCCTTTTTGTAGAATGGAGGGAATTAAATGACTTGAAAAATTCAATTTTCTCACATTTCGACACAGTGTTGATTACTTGATTTCATTTTAATATCAATTTAATTTTGATATTTTGCTGCAAACCCCCCATATGGAAACTTCCAGAAAATGCATTGTCATTAATGAGAACAGTGTCGGCGTGTGTGTGTGTGTGTGTGTGTGTGTGTGTGTGTTAATCATGAGTATAACAATGAAAACAAATCCAAATTCGAATCCACACTTATCATTTGTTAATAACAACATTGCACTAGATGGCGACAAAACACTGTGTATTTTTTAATGTGACAATTTGATAGCATATAGCAGGGTTTCTCAAATCTGGCCCTGGAGGGCCAACGCGCTGCAGAGTTTAGCTCCAACCCTGATCAAACTCACCTACCTGTGATTTTCTAATGATCCTGAAGACGTTGATTAGCTTGCTCAGGTGTGTTTGATTAGGGTTAGAGCTAAACTCTGCAGGAAAGTGGATCTCGTGGGCCAGATTTGAGGATCCCTGGCATATAGAAGTTTGAGCGTTTAAAACACCAGGACTCGTATGTGGAAGGGTTCATTATTAGTAGTAGTAGATTTTTGGGCAAAACTAAATAAAACGCTCAGACAGTTCTGACCAAATAAATAAGATATTGTTTATGCGTGGAAAGATGGACTTGAAATTTTGGTTATTTGCACTGCTGACTGTCTTTCATGTCCAATCTGAGCTCCTGCTGAGCTTTACTATAGTAACGAGGTTAGAGACCCCATCACCATCAATTATTAATGCATTACGCGCTTCAATAAACTTCATACAACCATTTCAGAAATGTGAAAAACAGACAAACAATTCTGAGCATTTAAAGCGGTTTATCATTTTATGTTCAATAAATTATTGAATGAGTGGTGTTTTCTTCTTCTTTTCTTTTGTAAGTAATGCTTGGTCTAGTTTCCCTTTCTCATATAAATATTTCAGAGGTCTTTTGACATCATAAATTAGTTTAGTGACATTATGCATTGAATGTTAATGCAGGTACACTCTTAAAAATAAAGGTGCTTCACGATGCCATAGAATAACCTTTTGGTCTAAATGGTTCCATAAAGAACCTTTAACATCTGAAGAACCTTTCGGTTTCACAAAAGGTTCTTTTTGGCGAAAGAAGGTTCTTCAGATTATAAAAAGGTAAGAAAGAAATGGTTCTTTAAAAAACCTTTGACTGAATGGTTCTTTCTGGAACCAAAAATGGTTCTTCTATGGCATCGCTTGAAGAACCTTTTGAAGCACCTTTATTTTTAAGAGTGTAGCCTAAACCTCAGGTGATGGAAATGTATGTATTATTTGATTATTTATATGATTTAATGGTGCTTGTAAGTCTGTCTAATTTTGAACGCATTTATTAGTGTCTGCATAAGAACAAAGCTAAGCGAAGGAAACTTAATATTTGAGATATTTGTGCTGGAGGGTGTAGTTTCCTGAAAAATTCAATTTAGTCCTCTCTCCCCCCTCTCTTTCTCTCTCAAACACAGGGGTGCCCAAACTCGGTCCTGGAGGGCCGGTGTCCTGCAGAGTTTAGCTCCAACTTGCCTCAACACACCTGCTGGTAAGTTTCTAGTATGCCTATAAGAGCTTGATTAGCTGGTTCAGGTGTGTTTAATTGGGGTTGGAGCTAAACTCTGCAGGACACCGGCACTCCATGACCGAGTTTGGGCACCCCTGCTCTAACACATGCACACACCGGATGCGAGAAAAAACATGGAGTTTGCATGGAAATTCCTTTCCTCAACCTGTCAGTTTCTCCCATCACCACCTACAGTGAGGAGTGAAATGTCAACGCTTAATAGGATACTTAACACTGCGAAATATTCATAACCTTCTCTGCTTATGTGCTATATAGAGATAGCTGATAGAGATATGTTGCGATGTTATGTTGACTGTATAGGTGTTAACATGACTTTATTGTACACTGTCTGGGGTCATCTTTACTGGAGTACTAAGTGACTACTAACTATGCATGTCAAACCATAAGTGAATAATTTGTCAGGTGGCTGATGCTGTCATGTAGCATATGAAATTGGTGTGACTGGTGCTAGGAACTGCAATGAAACTAGAAGAAAACATGCTTATTGCTCCCAGCGGTCTGCTTTGGCATAATAGTTGTTATGATTATAGCTTTATAAATTGAGTTACTAATTAGACTTCGATTATACAGATCAATTAAATATAGCCTCCTGATTTTATATCAGGTTGTAAACAAGTTTAGGGGTCTAAGCAATTATTTAGAGCTCCCTTTTTGTATATAAACTAATTGTAAAATATTATATTCATGTATATATTCTTACAAATGTATATATGGCAAGGAAAAATACATCAGGTGTTCAAATGATTTATTATTTATTATTGAATAATTTATAAAAAAAAATGTAAGGAGAAATAATATATATATATATATATATATATATATATATATATATGAGATAGATAGATACTTTCATACATGTAAAATTACTTAATAAAATTACTTAAATTATTAATAATAGTTAAATAAAAATTATTAAAATTACTTTATAGAATAGGCACATATACATTAAATATAAAATGTTTTAATATATATCAGCTTTAATATATATCAGTTTAAAATAAGTATATATATATATATATATATATTAGTGCTGTCTAACGATTAATCGCATCCAAAATAAAAGTTTTTGTTTACATAATATATGGTTATGGTTCCGTACGTTCTTCAGCTGGTCTGTTTTGTAAATTCTGAAGTCATGCGAGTTTCATTTGGAGCAGGTCTAAGTAGTGTGTGTGTGTGTGTCCTGTACAGTGACCCAGCAGCAGTGCTATGAGAGCTAGCAGCATGCCGCTCCTTTAATGACCTATGAGAGCTGTGGACCCAGGCCATGCATGGGGAACCTGAGAACCTGCTGAGCAACTTCTGTTGATCTAAGCCAGGTGAGGGGCCCAGACTTCTGTGAGACAGAGAGAGAGAGAGAGCTGGGGACAAGACTTTGAGAGTGTGTGTGTATGGGGAGTTTTATGGCACGATTGTTGTTTGAATTATTGATAGCTTGGTATGCTACTCTCTAATCAGTTCTTGTACATTTCATGATTCACTATATGTGGGTTTGTTTCCCAAAGACGTCCTATTCATTTCTGTGTGCTTAATTTTTCTAAACATAGTTATGTGTGAATGGAAAATTCTGTTTTGTCTAGTAAAACTACACTCTGCAGATAAAGAGAGATTTTAAGGTAACACACTGACTCTGTGCTCTCGTTTTAAGCTCACTCAAATAAACCACAATATCACTCATACAGCAGGTGAGCTGCATCAATTCACAGGAGTCCGTCATAGACCTCCACAGCCTGAGAAACTTAACCTCCCGATGAAGACTGCAATGTCCTGACCTAAAACCAGAGATGTGAACAACAGCAAATAAAACACAGGATATACTCGGTGAGTAAAGTTCCTTCAGATGTTTCTTTCATGTTCTTGTACAGCTTGATTATTTTTTTTCGAGCTCCACTCGGTGTGTCCTCTCATTACCACGGTGTACTACCTGAACGCTACAGGACTTCAGAATTATAAATATTCATCCTTCCCCTCACCCGAAAATCTAACAGCATGCTATACCTCACTGCTCAATTATTGATTTCCAGCAGGCTTATAAAAGTATCGAAATTCTGGATTGTTCACAAGAATTTGGAGAACAACTGGTGAGTAAATTCTATAAAATGTCTTGTAATATAATTCAAATATGTTTATTGATTATGCCTACATCTGTTCTTTTGTCATTTTTATCAATGCGTCCTTCTTTTCCTCCTCCCTTGCGTTCTTCTATCCATCGTTCTCATTAACACCCCGGCCCTGATAGATGTAAGTGGCCTACTGCTCCTTAAGAGACTCTCCCGGGTGTCCCGTGCAACCCTGGCACCCTGTGTTCCTCTCCTTAGACCCGGACCTGTGCCATCTGCCTCTGTCACTGTCACCGCTGGGCACTGGGAGTCAGTGTGCATGAGGCAGCCCTCTTCTGGAGCAAGAAATCAACACACGCTGTGGCTGCTGCAGCTTTTCAGCCGGTAGGTATACTGGAAGTTTACTTTTATGTGACAAAGTTTATTAAACAATATTAAGTTTAAACAGGAGAGGCATGAATTTAAATATTTTTAAATTCATCTTTGGTATGTCTATTTGTACAGTTTAGTCCATACTGTATTGTGATTTTTTTTTCATTCTGTGATCGTTTCATTTGCTAATATATGTAAATATACACTACCGTTTAAAAGTTCGGGGTCAGCAAGATTTTTTTAAAATAAAAAATAATACTTTTATTCAGTGATGATGCATCACCACAGATGGAAATTATTTTTTTTTGTAAGGCTTTCTAATCCCTTTCTTTCCTGGGCTATTTTCCACCGCATTGTGATAGGAAACTTACGACGAGCCGAAGAGAAAGGCGCAGGGTTAAGGCCAAGTCTTGTCATCGGGAAACAATCCCTTCCTCTGGTTGTTAAATAAAACCTACGTGCATCCTTTTTTCTTCTTTTTTCTTTTTTGCTTGGTGTGTGACCCAGCAAAAGCCACTCGGCCTGGTGTAGATGCATAATGAGCTTTTGTGCTCAATGGTTCTCCCTCACTTTCACATTAGTTCCTCTCAGCCAGTGTTGTGGAGAGCGCAGCACGGGGAAATGGACTGTGAGAACGCTAACCAGATGGCTTAGATCCCAAAACCCCAGGGGAGAGAGGCATAGTTCCGGACTAAGCTAAATCAGTGTACCTAGACTTCAACAGCAGATGCACGTAATAAGGAAACTGTCTGAGCAAAATAATAAGGGATTGTGGTGGTTAAGAGAATGTATTTAAGTACTCTGTGAAATGCAGTAACTAGCACTTTTTGAGTAATGACTGAAATCAGGTTTCTACTTTCTGATGACATCACAGACTCCAAAATATGATCCTTTTTTTGTGAGGGACCCCTGCCTACAATATAAAGGCAAAGACATTTTTACTTTCTATTGAGGTGACACTTTTATTTTTATGCACTACTAAAATAAACATTTTATTACTAATAATTTTTTTAATTCTTGTCTTTTCATAATTTTTTTTTACATGATATCTGACCAGTGTTTGAAAACTAAATGAACAGCAATAATGTAAATTCAGTAAATTGTATCTGTTTTATTTGTTTTTATACAAAAACATATTATTATATAAAAGAGTAATAGAAAAACACTACTATTATTATAAAATAGTTTTGTGTGTATATCATTTTAAATATATATTTATATATATATAAATTTAATTTTTATAAAACTATTTTCTGAACTTTTACACAGCCTCTCTAGCACCCCTTGTGGACCCTCTTGAAAACCTGTTTTAGTGTGTGATCTTGACAAACCGGGTTTTGCTCCACTATGCTCAGATTCGGAGAAAACTAAGTTAATGAAAATATCAAAACAGAAAGAACTTTTGTATACAATCAAGATACTCCAAAGACATTTTTTTCTGTTTCAGTGGTGGTTAATTTACTGTTTTGACTGTCTAGGGTAGTATAAGAGGTGAAATTATCTATTTTCATGCTCTCACATGCACATTTTTTGATTACCCACTTTGCATTTTGTGCTACCTTTGAAAACTACAGTAACGCACTGCGCATCTAAAATGAAAACGGTGGGTTTTGTTTGATGGAAACATCAATCAAACTCCCAAAATCGTAGTATTTTTTTCAAATCTGAGATGTTCTTTTTCTCTTTCTTCAAGAGTAGTCAGTTGGCACTAAAACTTTCCGATTTTATACCACAGATGAAAGATCATTTACTTCTCCTGAAATCAAATAGGACATTTCTCTGGTGAGCAGTAAGGAGCATTGTTCTAAAACGATAAGGCACAGATTCGTCTGTAGATCTCCAGCGAGGTCCGTGGGGGTGGGAGGAAGAGGGATGGGGGGGGGGGAAGGGAAGATTGATGAAGAGGTGAAGTGGGCCCCATATATATTTATATATATATAAATTTAATTTTTATAAAACTATTTTCTGAACTTTTACACAGCCTCTCTAGCACCCCTTGTGGACCCTCTTGAAAACCTGTTTTAGTGTGTGATCTTGACAAACCGGGTTTTGCTCCACTATGCTCAGATTCGGAGAAAACTAAGTTAATGAAAATATCAAAACAGAAAGAACTTTTGTATACAATCAAGATACTCCAAAGACATTTTTTTCTGTTTCAGTGGTGGTTAATTTACTGTTTTGACTGTCTAGGGTAGTATAAGAGGTGAAATTATCTATTTTCATGCTCTCACATGCACATTTTTTGATTACCCACTTTGCATTTTGTGCTACCTTTGAAAACTACAGTAACGCACTGCGCATCTAAAATGAAAACGGTGGGTTTTGTTTGATGGAAACATCAATCAAACTCCCAAAATCGTAGTATTTTTTTCAAATCTGAGATGTTCTTTTTCTCTTTCTTCAAGAGTAGTCAATTGGCACTAAAACTTTCCAATTTTATACCGCAGATGAAAGATCATTTACTTCTCCTGAAATCAAATAGGACATTTCTCTGGTGAGCAGTAAAGAGCATTGTTCTAAAACGATAAGGCACAGATTTGTCTGTAGATCTCCGGCGAGGTCCGTGGGAGTGGGAGGAGGATGGGAAGGGGGGACGGCAGATTGATGAAGAGCTGAAGTGGGTCCCTGGGTGACACACGCTCCACTCCACAATATTAAAAACTCCCACACGTTTTTGGGGAGGCAAAATTGCCCTTGCTGGAACACTGGTGTATTTTTTTCCAGTAATGAACAGCATTTGTTTTATCTTGATAGATGGGACGTTGAGGAGAATTCATATCATCGCAAAACTCCGGAACTGCCTTCCGTTTATGCTTGGGTGCCCCATTGATCGCTGCTGAAGGTCATCTTGACAATTACGCAAGGGACACCTTCAGGAGAACGGTTCAAAGCCGACTGCGACACAATGAGGATCTTGAGTGTTTTTTGGGGCTGGCTACAAAGAAAATTTCAGAGTTTAGTCTTGCAACCTGTTACTTTCGCCACTGCTTTCTCATTGGCGTCTCACGCAGCCAGATTTTTGGCTTCTTAAAGTCTTCTGTGCAAGGAAAAGCAGGTGCTACTGAATATTCAGAAGGTGTGGTTTTATGAAAAATACCTTTTAGTTTGTGCTGCTCACACTTATGTCACTTTTGATTGTTGTTTAAGTTTTCCAGGTGCAGTCTGCTCCATGCTTTCATCCTGCAACTGTTATCAGAGAAACTGGATCTGGCCCAATGCGTCAAAGTGACCCTATTACAATGACAGCGAGACTAGATCCCTCTCGTGGCCTGCACTCGCACCCGCCTCCCTCTTCACAGGATGTAAATGACCGTTTAAATGAATTAATGTAAGGTTTCTTTCATACATGCCCCAGTAATATTGAAGCCATTACGGTCCTCTCCGGAGTTGGCATGGTCAGCGCTTAGTGCTTAATGTCTTCCACGTTGAGCTTATTAATCTAAACAGTGCGGCCCAGCTGCTCTGGATCGGCCGTTCCTGAGCAGCGGCGGCAGTCTCGCATCTGAACAGCTGCCATATGTGGCTGCGGAAAAGCTAACTGGCTTGTGTCATTTTCTTCACTTAATTCTGACCACTCCTGGTGAGTAGGTTTTCACAGAGGCCTTCATTGAGACCGCTTCCAACTGTAAAGCCCCACTCGGATACGCCGTTCCTCCCTGAGGTCTCACCAAAAAAACCCCACAGAGCCACTGATTTACATAGCTGTGACTCCCACTACCAACCACCTCAAACTGCTTTGGGCTGTAGAGCTGAGCTGAACCATTTAAAGTCTTACCATAAATGTGTTTGTGTATTACAGGGAGATGATTAATCAGAAATGACTTGTTTATGGAGTGCATGACAGTGTGTTGATTTTCAACACGATCGTGACGTGGCAAACATCAGCGCTGCTTTTCTCTGACAAGAGGACTGTGCGAGTTGGAAAGATAATTTACGAGAATGGACTGAAATGATGGTTTGGCTGCTCTTGTGGCTTATCGGAACTCATTTTAATTGTCAAATTAAAAACATTAATACATTTGAGTGTTGTTTAATTCAAGCAGGGTTGACTAGAAATTATGCTTAGAAATAGGAACTGGGTCTGGAAATGCCTCAAACTGGAATCGATCTCTCATTATGTAAATGTGCAATAACTGCTAGTCCACTGCACTGTCTCTTTCTTTCTTTTACAGATGCAGTTGCGTTCTCTCAACAAAGAAACTTGCCACTCTGGATTCACCCAAAACTCATTAAAAAGTTTTGTTTACAATCACAGCACACCTGTAAAAGTACAGTTTTTGTTTGTTTTATTTGACAAAATTTAAAACAAAATACAAAAAAGCCCATAAAGACTAATCCATACACATTTCTAATCCAT